CTCTTCCACGCTGCAGCTGTTATCTCCGACGCTATGTACATCTTTGGTGGCACAGTGGACAATAATATCAGAAGTGGAGAAATGTACAGGTTCCAGGTAATTCACTGATAAACACACTCAAGCATCCACACCGATTCTGCCTGGATCTTTCTGGCTCTGTTTCCAGATGTGGCAGCGTTTTTGGTTTGGCTCACTCTGAGTTTGATGGTTTTCCTTTCCCATCCTTCTGCAGGAAGCCTTTGCGTTTCGGATTCAGCTGCCAAAGATGATTGTATATCTTTAAAATCTTTTGAGATATGTTATCTGGACAGACATTTTAATAAGGCCAAGCTCTCCAGTGCTTTCTGAAGTCCTAACAGAGATCACGACGTTTTGACAAAAGTGTGTCAGACAGGATTCGACAGGATGTTTAACTGAGAATTGGCTGTCGTGTGCTGTCAGGTTCAGTGTTCCTGGGTCAGAGCATTTTGCACTGAAGTCTGTCTTCATCCAGTGCTCCCTTGCAGTTACATGCTGTAACTATGGGAATTTTACATTTCCAGATACTCACACCAGGTCAAATCCCCCCTACACTCATGATTAGTTTTATTGCATGGGACTCTCAGAGAAGTCCTGAGATCAGGTGAGACTCCTAACCACCAAATCCTGAAATCCTTGGGTTGTGATGAGACACAATTCTTCCGTGTTACCCTCTGTTATCTCTCATTGCCCTCACCAGAGAGGAAGCCCTTGCATGTGTTTGGTGTGCGTGTTATTTTCTACTTCATAGAGATCGAGTTAATAAGAAAATGCAGTGATAGTACATGTAACTGCAGTGCTCTGGCTATAGCCATCTGAAATTAATTCTGTCTTCTGGGGTGGTTTATTTTTTCAGTTTTCTTGTTACCCTAAATGCACTCTGCATGAAGATTATGGGAGGCTGTGGGAAAACAGGCAGTTCAGTGACTTGGAGTTTGTTTTGGGAGAGGTAAGTAGAATTACTGAAAACAGGGGCATTACTGCACGTGTAGTGTGTTTGCTGGGAAAAAGCAAGTTATACAGTGCTTGTGCCAGAAATCCTGGGAATGAAGTTTTGAGAGCAGCATCGCTGGTGAAAATGATGTCTGTCTGCTTTAGTGAGTTATACTAATCCAGTTAGATTTATGAAGTTGCAAAGGAGAAGAAACTTTTAAAGTGAGAAGATTTGTAACCCGTATTTATCAGAGCACATTGTATATAGTTGCAATATGAAAATGCTATCGACGACCTCTGTGCTCTGAGGTCTGTCTCCTGGAAAGAGCAGGCCAGTGGTTTGCAGATCCATGTGTCATTTCAAGACCCATTTTTAATAACTGAAATAAAGTAGAATGAGAAAAAGCAGCACAGGGGAGTGATTCTCTAGTAATGAAAACAGTTACAAAATGTTAAGAAGAACATGTTTTCTGAAGAAAAACATGAGAAATTTGAACTTACCTGTGTTCCTTTTGCAAAAAAAAAGTTCTAAAACACTTCGCAGAGGACAGATAACAGATCCTCAACAACAGATGAGGTAGATTATGAAGAACAATAGTAAACAAACATACTGTTGTTTTGGAAAGAGAAAATAAAATGGAAAATTAGGTGGAACAATGAGAAGCAAACTCTGTGACGCTGAACCTACGCAAGAGCTTCTGCTCAGCACACGTAACAAAGACTCTTTCCAAGTGGGTTTGCCTTTAGGGAAATGAGGCGTGTAAATTCATCTGCATGTGCAGAGCAGATGCAAGGTTGCCTTTGATTCTAACTTAAACTAAATGTTTAGGAACCTGGAGTTCACCCCAGGTTTCTATGGCTTCTGCCATCTGCCACCACCACATGATTTGGGAATAAAAGTTTAATGAGTGTTATCCTTTGCCTTTGACAGAAGGAAGAACGAGTTCGAGGGCACACCGCAATTGTTACGGCTCGCTGCAAGTGGCTGAAAAAGAAAATCATGCAGGCAAGGGAGAGGTTGAAACAGGTGAATGTTTTAGAAGCTTAATCTTGTAGCGAGGTAACGCTTATTCTACCCGATTTTGGAAATAAGGTTGTTAGGAAAAAGATGACATCTGCTGAGAGAGATGTAGGACCCAGAGTAGTACCTGATGCTCAGGTGCTCTTGGACAACTGAAATAAAGAGGGTAGCTAGTGTTAGCCTAGGCGAGGCTGAGTAACAGGCCAGGAGAGGAGAGAAACATGGAGGAGCCAAAGCTAATCCAGTTACCTGGATTTGGCGGTGTGGTTCTTGCAAGCTGTCCACCCCTGGGAGGTATGCATACCCCACCCTCTGGGCAGAGTAAAGGCTGCTTGTCACTGGGGACAGCGTGCAAGATAAGACAGATCAGAGGGAAGGCACTGTTAAGGTTTTGAGGCTGGCTCTGTTCCCTTTACCTTAATATTTCCTGATTTTTTTTTTTTTGTCCAGAATTGAAGGTCTGGTGCCTGTTGTTCATTGTCTATTAATTTTAACTACTTACAGCTTTTCGGCAGCAAAATTTTATTGCTCTCGAGGAGGTGGTAGCACACAACCTGCAGTAAGATGTAGGGATGCCCCGTTGCCCATAGTTAATTGCTTTGCCAGCCCACATCCCTCCATCTTCGCTGGAAAAAG